ATAGCCTATCAGTGCGATCACCCCATTGTCCGACAATACACGAGTCGACTCTTGAATGAAGGCATTGAAGTCAAACCAATGGGCGGCCTCTACGGCGGTCAACAGTTGCACACTATTTGTGGAAATCGATGGCAACTTCTCGGCCGGACATACCTTCACATAAAAACAATACAAAAAAATAAAAATCATTAATTTCTGAGTTATATCGGCTTGTATTGACTCACATCATAGGAAATATTATCTGAATGGTGAGCGCCTTTCGCTTCATTAATCTGTGCCGGACTCACATCGAAACCGTAGCACCGCTTGAAATGTTTGGCCAACTTATGAGTTCCCTGTCCACTACCACAGCCCACATCCACAGCAATATCCCACTTATCCGACGGTATCTTTTGGCGCAAAAAATTCAGCGCAACATCGATGACCGCGTCGGGAACGGTAGGCCTGAACCGGGCGTATAGGTTGGCGTGATTTATGCCCTCGAATATACGGACAGACATTCTCTACAGATGAGTAAAAAGTTTTCGTAAAAAAGGCACAATTTTTTTAACATAAAATCACTGCAAACACAGTATAATATTTATATAAACAGATAACAAAGTTTGTGCGAAAAAATTACATCACATTTATAGCGGCGAAGGCCTAAAGACACGCATTTGAAGGACATGTAAGGGAATCGCGATTCAAGGCTTTCCACAAAACCATCACATGTTTTATTATATTATTTATCATATGAACAGATATTATGTTATTGTATTGTGAAAAAGACATTACAGTCAAATATATATATACGCCAAAACTATGTCTTAATTTTGTTGTTTGTTTTGACTATTAGTTTATGAAGTGATTTGTCTGCACACCAAACGACATGTCAAATGCCAACCATTACTCCCATTCCGTGTTCGCGACGGCAAGGCATGCGGATCTGTACGCGAAGTTTCGACCCATACTACCAAAGATAGTGTTGGACTATGTCCTCGATTATCTCAAACTACACATAGAGCCCAACGAGTGGCACATCGCTGTGGACGTGGGTTGCGGTGGCGGTCAGAGTACGCAAGTGTTGGCCAAGTATTTCAAAAATGTTTATGGATTTGATGTGAGCGCCGCTCAGATTAATGAGGCGCTCGAGGCATACCATCCCCACAATGTTCACTATCAGGTTCAGTATAACTTTATCTGTGAAATATTAGTTAAAACAATTAATAAGCATTAAAATTAGTATAAAAGTAACAGGGTTATATTTGTTTACAACCAACTCTTGGCAGGTGTCGATAGCCGAGAATATTCCGTGCATTGAATCCAATTCCGTGCAGTTATTGATCGCATGTGTGGCCGTCCAGTGGTTTGATTTGTCGAAGTTCTTCGTGGAGGCGAACCGAATGCTTGCGCCCAACGGAATGGTGGCTCTGATCGGCCACACGATGTTCGAGCCAATAGATCCGGACAATCCCGATGATCACACCCTCACACAACTCATGCTAAGTCTGCGCTACGACCCCAGTATAGCGCCCTATAAGTTGCCAAATACCGAGAGCATTGACAAGCGCTACAAAAACATCGTTTTTCCCGATTATTTCGAGTACACCTACAAAGACAATATCATCAATGGGGTGGTGATCAGCGCTCAGGACATACTCGGCTTCTTAGAGACGTGGTCTCCCTATCAGCAGATGTATCAAAGCAGCCAATCGGAGGCCAAAACCTTTTTAACCACTTTTGAACAAAAGCTTAAGAATATTCTGAAAACCGATGACTTGAGCGGCAAAAAATTGTTATGTAATTATCGCTATTACATAGCTATGGGTAGAAAAAAGTAATTTAAACTGTTTATCTCATTGAGTAAAACACATTACACTAAAGTAATATAAACTTATTATACAAACAAATAAACTTATTTACAAATTTGTATGTTGTGTATTCACAAAAACATTTTCGCGGTAACTATTGGTTACTTACGGGACTGGTATGCAAAACAAACGCATATTCTGTGCGCACAGAATTTCAGTGCAGAATTGTATCCACGATTAAAACAACACTTGCGCTAAACATGTCGGCGCCGAAGGAAATACCGTCTGTCGAGCGGTACAACTGGTTGTTTCACATGCATTACGTGAGGGCTGAGTACGACCAGTGCCTCAATCAGATCCAGAGGTTCAACACTCACAGCGAATACGCCGTGTATTTAACAGGACTCATACGGCTCCGGGAGGGCGACGCCAAGAGTGCGCTCATGGCTTTCGACTCAATCAAAACCATCAACAATCCCACGTATATTAAGGCCATATCCCGGTGCCTCACACTACTGGGCCGACACCAGAATGTGTGCGATTTGATCAAAGAGGTGGGTCTGAAGGTGACGCCCAACGACTGGCAGCTGTGGTGTCTGTTTGGGAACGCCTTGTTATATATGGGAAACATTCAGCCGGCGAAGGATGCCTTCCAGAATGCACTGCAGACCACAAACCAGATCGAGCCGTTCATATCCCTGGCCCAGTGTCACATCGCTGAGTCCGACTACAAGTCAGCCATATTCGTGCTCAGGAGGGCTACCGAGTCTGTCATCCAGTCATTCATTTGCATTGAATTCTGTGTTTAAAAATGTAATTCTGTTTCAGACTATCGCCAAACGACTCGCAACTGACTATAAAACTGGGAATTTTACTCATAAACAATGGGATGACTGCCAGAGGGGTCGAGAAAATACTTCAGGTCCAGAATCAGACCAACCCGTCAGACCTGTCCGTCGCCTTAGCTATCGGTTCCGTTCTGCAAGATATCAAAGTGGACATCGACTCAGCCCTCTATCGATATAAGGCTACAAATGTCTTTGAGAGCCCTTCCCTTTGGAATAATATAGCGCTTTGTTTCGCCGTTAAGAAGAAGTTCGTGGCCGCCGTCTCCTGTCTCAAGAGAGCCCTATATCTCAATCCAATCGATTGGCGGATTAATTTCAATTTAGGACTCATTAATCTACAGCTCAGACAATACGCCAGCGCTTTCCACTTCCTGAAGAATGCGGTGGCAAACAGTTCCGCCACTAATCCCACAATTCTATCGCTTTTAGGTTTGCATTTCACGCACAAACTTACAGCTAAACTAATAGTCAATTAAAACACATTTCCAAACCAAAAGGCATTTGTCTGGAGTGTCTGGAGGACGAGCAAAACGCACGACAGGCGCACACGTCTGCCTCCAAGTCGTCCAACGGGTGGAATGCCATACCAGTCCTCAATTATGCCGTTTTCTTGTACAACGAGGACTCCAACGCCAATAGGGATACCATAATAGAGCTGTTGATGGAGTTCGAGCAGTGTTGGCTCAAACGCTCGCAAACCACTCATGAGTTTGATGGCAATGTCATGAAAGTGGCTACAAATCTGGCCAATGCTCTCAGTGTGTCCAGTCATATGGCATGGGTCAAGGAGGCCACACAGACTACTAGGGTTGAGACCAACACTGAGATCAATGTAGGTGCCTCTACCAGTGCTCCCGAGTAATTAATTAATTAATTAATTTTTACACAAAACAAACATCTAAATAATTGGTTTATAAGATTACAATTTAATTTTTAGTTACTTATAATTATAATTATTATATGTGCCAGGGAAAGTTGAAGTGAGCTTTGTGCCTTTAATGAGTTACTAGTATTGGAAAACACAAAAATTAAGCAAATGCAAATTATCTTAAAACAATAAATGTAAACAATAATTAACATTATAAAATCAGATTAAATTATATTAAGTTTTTTTTAAATGGATCGAGTATTTTATAAAAAAAAGTGTAATTTTATCATTTAAATTTTTGTATATTTAATACTGGTATAACTATACTATTACTAATACTGTATAACTCATTAAAGGCACAGAGCTCACTTCAACTTTCCCTGGCACATATTATATTGTAATTAAAAGTTAAGGAAAATAGATTTTAAAGCAATATTACCGGTAATTATAAATTATCATTACAGTATTGTGATATCAATACAAAATTACAACGGCCCGTAGGCTACAGGTATAAGAAATACAAAAAACAGAATTTAATATATTTAGAGTTTATCACTATTAGTTTATTTATCACTAATATTATATTAAATATACGGTAATTATTAATCATAAAAACAGAAACTTTCATAGAAAATGTATTATATATTGTAGTAATAAACAATTATCAGTTAATAAACAACAGGCTCACGGTTTAGCCACCAATTTGATCTCAATGTCTGTCAACTCCGGTGTTTTGCCTAAAACTTTCTCAACTTTTGCTTTGAATTCTTGTTCAACATCTTGAGTGAAAGCACTGGTACTCAAAGCCCAATCAAATACATCAGTCAACTGTTGGCGTCTGTCGGGATCACCGGAACCCTCGCATTCAAGTGATACGATCAGGAGTTTGCCATAAAATACATAGAATCGGAGCTCACGCTGGCAGTCATCGATTTGCTGCAAAGTGTTGCCAAAATCAGTGCCAATAAAAAACAAAAACTTCTTCATTCGTCTGAAGAATTGCGGCATTTCTGTCAACTGTTGCACATTAGACATGAGTCGGCATTTCAGGGGTAGTTCCGCCAACATTTCAAACAAATACTTCATTATTAAGACTTTGTTCTCAATGACAGACAACTGCTCGACAGACAGGAGTGCATACATTTCGGATCGGATTTGCGTCTCGTTTTGCAAATCATTCAACAATTTTGTGATAATCGGGCGAATCATACGATTATTAGGCGACATAATCCTGATGTCTGTAACGTTTTGATTCAATCGCTTCTGTTTCGGCAAATTCTCGTCATTTAAGCACAAATTCTTTCGATTCAATTCAAACAGCTTCTGAAACTGACTCTGAATTACATTATTGAATGCTTGGCATCGAGTGATCAGAGTTTCACATTTGGGACATCTCTTCAATATCTCTCGACTTTGCGGTGAAGTAGTGGTCAACAAGTGGTTCAATGAATTCACTTCAATGATATGCTCGCAATTCTCTAATGCAATGAATTTCGATTCCGTTATCTCTGAGTCATACAGATTCGCGACACCAATCAAGTGATTGATTTGCGGTTTATTACAAGTAAAGCAAAAGTCGGGACACTTTTCACCGCAAATACCAATACATTTGTGACCGCATTCCAAGTTCTTATTGCAGGCCATCGGACAGTACTCGCGATCGCACTCTTCATAACATCTTTTAGTGCACTTCTTATGTGAACATTTCCAGTGACAAGCTCTCGGGCAACGAATACATGGCTGACTGCAGGTGTGGGCGCAGGCGGTATGTCTGCAGCGATTCTGACAGAGTTGATCGCATGGGGAACAGTTGTCGCCGCAAATACCCTCACATTTGTGGCCACAGATCAGCATTCGGTCGCATTTTTGTTTGCAACTCACGTGAAGTCGACTTTGATTGCATCCAACACATGAACCCTCGCATCGATGGCCGCAAACCAACTGCTTATCACAGACTTTAATGCAATGTTCAGCGGATTTGTTGAAATACTTCTTCTGATTGCAGGGAATCTTGAAAACGTGTCCGCAGTCGAGCTCTATGTCCACAATGTCCTCACACGTCAATGTATTGATGTCTTGGCAGCAAACAGTCCTAACCTCATGACCACAAATCGCAAATTTTCTCATTACACTCACAACACACTTGCTTTCATCGCAAGGTTCAGAGCACTTGAGAGCGCATACGTGTCCACATTTAAGTGATTTACCGCATGTTTGATAACAAACCGGACTTTCAGAGCAGCCAAACTTCATGGTATGACCGCATTGGGGGACAGTTTTCTCCACTTTATACGTACAGTTCGTTTGGCATTCGTCACCACAAGAGTTGTCACATTTATGGCCGCATTCAAGGGTTTTATCGCACGGGAAATAGCAGTACATATTGGATGAGCACAACTCCTCGATCTCATGACCACATTTGGGAACAGTTTTGGTGACCAAAACAGCACAACCGCCGCACTCATCGGGAAAGTGGCACCTATTGGGACAGACGTGTCCGCAATCCAATACTTTGGAGCAATTTATTTGGCATTTAAGCTGTTGGTGACTGATATGACAGATAGTTCGTGAGCACCGGTGACCGCACTCCAAGTCGTGAGTATAACTCTCAGTACACCCACCGTATGGGGACTTATCTCTGAAATCGTCAACAGTTTTGACACATATATCACCAGAATTTGGATGATTAGAGCAGCAGAGGTGCAGTTCATCTCCGATTGCATTCACACTTTTAGTATAATCCGTGAGTTGAGTCCAAAGGAGACTGTTTTTGGAGAGAAACGAAAAGTTTCCGACACAATAGAGTCCACTCTTAGCCCTGGAAAGGGCGACATTCACGCGATTCGATGTCTTCAGGAATCCGATCTCATTCGTGGCATTACTTCTCACAAAAGACAACAGAATTATGTCATTCTCTTCGCCCTGAAAGTTGTCCACAATATTAGCTCTCATTCCTTCAAATATGGGATCATTTCTTAGCATTCGGTTGATTAGAATGAGTTGAGATGAATAGGGCGTTAAGATTGTCATCTGACTCTTGTCGTAGTCCTGATATAACAGATGTTTAGCCAAACGCACGACAAGTCTGGCCTCGAATTCATTTGATTTACTCATTCTGTCATCTCTTCCGGACTCCAGTGAGGAATGCATTAAGAAATACATGTTTTGCTTAATCCCTGTCAACAATAATAACTTTAATACAATTCATACAAATCTAAACTAAACTCAAACCTTTAATGTCTCCGTAATTCTTGACACTAACGTGATCTTCAAGATGTTTATAGATGTTGGGAACCAAGAGTTTGGAGATCTCTGGTCTCATCCGGTGCTGAAGTCTCAGCTGTTTGAATGGCATTCCGTTGTTAATCATGCGCTCAAACAGAGAGACATCCAGATTATACCACTTGCAAAGCTCATAGACAGCCGGTTGTGGTCGCAATTGTTTGTGATCTCCGATCAGAATCAAGTGCTCCGTGTTTTGAGTCAACGAAGTGATCACATGACTCTCCATCACTTCAGCCGCTTCTTCTACGATCACTATCTGCGGATCAATTGCTTCCATAATGTGTCTATACTTCGCCGCACCGGTAGTAGTCATTCCCACGATATCTCGGCCACCAATCAAATACATATTCTTTTGTAAACACAAGTTCTTGAGGAATGGCACCTCATCTTCGTATCGTTGGTACAGATAATCAAACCGTAATTTTCGAGATTTGATGTACTCTTGAACCCACAGTCGGTAGAGTCTCCACCGATCCTTATAAGTCAATTGTGTCACATCTGATATGAGATACGCCTCGCCATAAGTCATCACTGAGTTGGACAACAACTCACTGACCATCGCGTGTTGTAATCCATTGAGAACTTTCTTAGAGATCCGCTTCAGTGACTTCTTATTACTCGAGAATATAGTATTGCTTTCTTTGCATTCACTCTCTTTGAGTGATTTTTTGAGGTCCACATCAAACTCTTCATCCACTTCTCGGGAGTCAATCAATCGCATCACCTCTTGATCGCCGACTTCTAGTACATCGCCGCCAAACTTAACGCCGTTTTCGTCCATTTGAGTCAACAATTCAAACCGATTGCGAGTCTTATGATTGCGAGTCTTATAATCGCTTTTCAATTCAGTTCTGTTATCGCAATCGCAGTTCGCTATCCATTGGATTAGCGCCAAATCAAACTCATTTGAATAGTTTCTGAGCAAAGAGTTTATCTGTTCTTTAATCCATGTGTCAGTATTGGGCGCTTTCAGCAGATACTCGGGATTCAGTAAATCCATGGAACAGTTGTGGATCTCCTCATCGATTTGTCTGATCTCTGTCTGAATGTCTTCCAATTTGTTGAACGAGAGGGCGATCTTGTAATTCAGTTCTTTAGGACAGAGATCTTTGTTTTTCAGTTTAATGGCACTCAACGTGTATTCTTCGAGTTTCTCGCTCTTGGATCTGTTGCCGATTCGCACAATATTTGTCGTAAATTCAAGCATCCCTTCCAGAAACTGATCCAACGCGTGGTTCGTATAGCAGATAATCATAATTGGTTTGTTACTCTTCGAGGACTTCCAGGCCATACGGTTCTGGTGTAGGATCTCCACAATCTTGAGGCCCACGTATGTCTTACCGGTTCCGGGCGGGCCTTGAATTAAGACAAAGCGACTCATGAGGGCCGCAGTGAAGGCCTCGTACTGGGAGTCATCGAATTGAGTGGCACTCAGTTTCGGCCACTCTTTCTTCGACAAGAGTTTCACCGATTTATAAGAGTCGGCGTCCGTTGAATCGGTCGCCTTAACCACACCTCTCAAGTCATACATCGTATCCGTTGTCACGTATTTGGGGCGCAATGACTGCCACCGAAGATCAATGATATGCTCCTTAAACGGAAACGAGTTGTTTGTCAACTTCTTGAGCGCCTTCAGGTTGTGTTTGTAGGCCTCAAAGTATACCTCCGACTCGATCATCACAAACGTCTTGTTGTGGTCGATGTGTTTGAACTCATCGGTCAGCCCTTCGGACTCGAAATCCAATTCAAAGACACCTTTAGCTAAGAGTTCTGCAGAGCGTTGACCGGCGACTGACGCGAAGCAAAATGTCTTGAAATTGTTGGCCGAAAGACATAGCAATGAGCCGTAAATCAGACGCTTTGAGAACTGTTTGAATAAATGAGATAATCATTGAATCAGTGGTCCAGTGATCTCACCCTCCAGTCAATTGGCGGCAACTCTTGGACATCAAGTCTGGCGTAATATGAAGACAGCGAAGAGTCACTCCTTTGGATGATTGAGACGTTGCGGTAAATCTTGATGTCTTTGATGCGACGAACCCTTCCGCCGGAGTGCATGTATTCGTTGATACCATTCCTCAGGGAACAGATGAGGTCCTCGCGAAGTAGGCCGAAGTGAGTGCTCAGATACCTGTCCACCGACTTAAACGTACCTCTCGTCAGGTTTCGCCGAAGACTCGGCTCAATGTTGTAATGGATTTCATGAGTCGTCGGAAGAATGGGATCGCTTCGGAACAGCTTATCCTCCGCTGAAGATTGAAACCAAATAACTATTAGATATGTCAAGCGCTCAAACAAGTGGTGCACCACTGATGAGACAATGCATACCTTCATCGCTGACCCGCTCGAAGATATTGCCGTTGACTCGCGGTTTGGATTTGGATCTCGACTGAGATCTCGACTTTGAACTCGAGTCGGATCTACTCTTGGATTTCATTTGTGTGTATAAAAAGTGGCAGAAAGAGGACACAAATGAGACAATCAGACAATGACTGCGAGAAACCGTTTGTAAGAAACTCTAGACTTTGACTGCAATGCGAGAAATTGTTTCACAAATTACTGTACAGTTTGTGAACCAAACGCTTTGATTGCGTCAATGCATTGCAATCCAGTCATAGCTTTGCCGTTCAAATAGCGTTCCCCTCAATGCGAAAGCCTTTGGATGAGTTTCACTGCAAAACTTGCGCTCATTTCAGTTATTACTGTCAAGTAGTGCAGAGAAATGAACTTATAGTGTAGTGTGAGGTGGGAATCAGTGTTATAATAACGTTACGTAAGATTTTTTATATGTAAAGAATTTGCCAAAAAAAACTCTCAATTTTATTTATATGTATGCTATTAATAAGCTCTAACAAGTTTGTTTAAAACTTTTTTATGCATCTTTTAATATGAAGTTTATTTAAGACTTTAGCGTTTCAATAATTTAGTGATTATGACTCATAATTTATGAGTAAAAAAAGTTTAAAAATAAAATTAAGATAATAAATATATTTTTATTTTAAATATACCGTAGTAGTATTAAATGCCAAGTACTGTACAGTTAATAATTAAAAAAGTTTGCTTCATATCTGAAAAGTAGAGTCAAATGTATGAATGAAATAAAAAATAATTATAATTCTCATTGTATTTTACAAACATTGTTCATTTAGTCTATAATTATCACAATCATTTTTAAATAGCATAACATCATAATCATAATTCAGTTTCCAATCAACAAATAGTTTTCAAATCAATTCAATCAATACATTCCTCATCGGTGTCTAAAGTATACGAATAAATAGCAGGAGTTTTGTCTCTTTTCGACTGACAATCATTGCATTGGTCTTCGCACTCATCGCTGCACTTCAGGGACATCTGTGTCCACACAAGAGCCACAGATCGCACCTCTGGGTGCAGACAACGGCACTGATGTTGCAGTTGACCACAAGTCGATGTCCGCAGTCCCTCACAATCCTCTCCACTAATTGAGTGCATAAGACCTGACAGTCTTCGCCGCACATGTTGTGACACTTATGGCCGCATTCGAGGGTCTTTTGAGACACATTCATGCAAATCAAGTGTTGGTCACTTTGGGAACAAATCACACGAATGGTGTGTCCGCACGACTCGATGCGCTTCTCGAGCTCTTGAGTGCAAGGCTTGCATTTGTCCGGCAAATGACACAAACGATTGCATCTATGGTTCAGTTTGCAAACCACTTCCTCGCAGACAAACTCGCACTTCAATTGCTTGTGATCTAAGGGATCACATTTGCCGAGCGGACACGAGTGACCACAAGTGAGCAGTTCATCACAGGGCTCACCACACCCTCCGAACCGCACTCTATCGAAGTCTTCGAAAGACAATCAAAGTTTCCGATCCAATAGAGTCCACACTTGGCTCTGGAAAGGGCGACATTAATCCTGTTGGAGATCTTGAGGAATCCGATGTCATTGTAAGCATTGCTTCTGACAAATGATATCAAAATAATGTCATTCTCTTCGCCCTGAAAGCCGTCGACGACATCGCAATTGATTCGGTCGTAAAAGGGATCCGCTCTGAGAAGGCGTCGGATGTGAACCGATTGCGAGGAATAAAGAGTCAAAATTATGATCCGATTCTTGTGGTAGTTTTGATAAATCAAGTGTTTTGTCAAACGGATCAGGAATTGGACCTCAAATCCATTCATACGACTCATCCGCTCGTCGGTCGACGACTCGTTTTGCGAGTGATTTATGAAAAACATGTTATCGCGAAGACCTGATCCAACAAAATAGTGATTGTAATCAACAATTGATTA